AAAAAAACAGGAAGACACTGAAATAACAAAGGCATTAACACAAATCTCATCTTCTCGGAGTAAATGCATACTTTGAATGCAGAACTCGATCCTGCTAAGTGAATTCAACGCAATTTGTCAGCCTGCATCTGGCACATGTTAAATATCTGAGAAATCTCGCACGGAACGGGTGCCCTGCTCCTCAAAAAAATCATGACGGGAATACACTGTGATCGTAAGAAGCCTAGACTAGAAAAAATGAATGGGGGTAACTGATGGTGACCATTGAAGTAACATTAAAGTCTTGGGCCTTTTGAAATGAGTATTTCTGTTACCTCTATCAGTTGTTTGTTTAAAAAAAATCAGATTGGAATTAGCAGTATTAAAGATGCATAGATCATTGCTGAAGGGATAAATTGGGAATATGAGAAGGAGGTAACGAACGGTGGGAGAGGGAGGGAGGTTGAGTATTAATAATAAATGTAGGCTTGAAAAGCTAAAGAGTAAAGGCTAACATGGTGAATAAGAAAAGGAATAAAACAAACAAAGAGAGTGGAACTAAGAAAATGTACTGAGATCCGTAAGATATGCGGATAACACATGTAATGAAGGGCTATGTAGTAAAAAACATTAAAGTTTCTTCCCTTACCGATACAGGCAGTAAATTGGTGTGAATAAAAATGGGAATCATCAGTACACTCTCCGCTCCACTACTTATGGGAGTACACTTATAAAATGATAAGAGAGTGAGAGGAAAGATGAGTGGACTAAAAAGGATTGCAGAGTAGACTATGAACAACGGGCAACATTAAGAAAAGTTGTAGCGTACGAAATCGAAAACCAACGTGGGGACGTGGTTCTCGGCCTTACAACGCGTACCAGGTGGCTCATCTTAAAATGGCATTTTTCTGGAAAAAGCAAATAGAACTGCTACAGGGTAGTTTTCCCACCCATAACCACAGCTAAATTTCACGGCAGCATAAAAGAGCTTAATGATTAGGCAAGTGAGGCACAGAATCTTCTAATCTCTGAATTATCAAAATATTTACTCAGTGTGGCTTAATTTCCGTAGGCAAGTTTATAAGCAGTATTTTGTACTCCGTTATGGCCTTCAGAAACAAGTTGGTTTAGCCTTTTTTTCAGCATTTTAGGTAAAGTAGTATTGGAAGAACAGTCAGAATGAATTGAACAGGGATTAAGCACTCGGTTAGGCTTGCATCCTGGAAATAAATAACTTACATCTCGGAATTGCCTAATTACTGTGAGAGTTTGCTTCGAGTTTTCCAGTCATCTGGTAAGTTTTACTAGTTTTGATCGGGAATGTAGATTTCACTAGTTTCGACCACTCAAATAAAATTCTAAAGCATTTCCCGTTCCTTCCATGTTCCAATTTTATCGTTTATTTCAGAAGACATTAAAAGAGAACAAAAACAAAAAACAATAAAAGAGAAAGCGTGAAGGACATGAATCAATCCTTTGCAGAATTCCATTTTAACGCATTTGTTTTTCTTGTCAAAGAAACAACTTTTTTTTGCAGAAACAATTTTTGTCCTTCTAAGTGGGTGAATGATTGTCGTCGGCCTGATGCAAGTTTCAAAACGGCCTCTTGACCGGATGTTCGCGCAGTTTGACGATTTGCTCTACGCCATACTTAAATTTGCAAGTACCCTTTGTTGTGAACGATACAATCTGCAAACGGTCTTTTTTTGCACAAAAAAAGTGATTCTTTCGGCACGTGAAAAACGTTCCCTGTATTTTTTGAGTGCTCTTCCAAAAAAAAATGTCATAAAAAATTGTCAGAAAAAAATGAAAATATTTCTTCAAGAATCAGTGAATTCCAGACACTGGCAAAACCCATTCCTGCAGCTCTTTTTATGGATGCTAAGATGGATTAACCGCCTTGAGTATGCATCTTATTGGCACAGGCCATAGCATTTCTGCAATTTTAGGTTCTTTATCCGGTAATGTGCGATAGGCTTGAAACAGCCGTAAAAGAAATTTCTGAATGAAATCAAAATTTCCTGGTTTTTGAATCGACTAGACAAATTAGCGAAATCTAACTCAAACTTGCCTAGCGGCTGGACACATCATGCATACAAGCGCGCAGAACAGAACTGGCTAGCGACGTATATTTTGCAAAAAGCGTGCTTTAAAACAGATAGTGAAAAGGAAGCCGCCCTGAGGCTATGGGCACTTTTGCTCTCAGGTAGGTAGGGCAGGTCTAGTCAAGTATGATCCACCAAATAAACGCACAGAACGAACATCGTCTTTAACGGAGAAGCCAAGCGCCGAATGATTGGCGACGCCCCTGATGATGTCCGCCAATCGACCCTCGATGATCGTCACCAGACTGTTGTTCTCTTTCGCATTGGTCACTGTGACGACTACTCGACCGGACATGCAACTATCTACCGAGAAGCTCCTGCAGTTATTTTTATTTGAATTACTCGACTGATTTACGAATGACTAACACTGCAGATCAAAACTGTGTCTGTTCCATGAGCAAGGAAGTTTACCTTTGCAAGATTCACTGTGAAGAGTGTGGTCTGAAAGGGCAAGGTTATATCAGGCTTGAGCGAGGGTCCACCCGGCCAAAATCACAATCCCTTGCGACTCAAAAGATGTGGTCAGTTTTTAGGCGTTTTTTGCAGCTATGCAATGCAGAAAACGCATATTGGTTGTGTATGTGTGTGTATTTGTGTGTGTGTGTGTGTGTGTGTGTGTGTGTGTGTGCCTATGTGTGCGCTGTGCGTCTGTACCGATTTTTCATCTCAAGACCCACAAAAGCTACAGGACTGGAACTTTGGGAA